TTTCAATTTGTTGCCTATGCATTCTTAGAAAAAGAATGAAAAGAAAGAAAAGCTGAATGACCACTCTTGCAAATAATATCATAATGCCTTTTATAAATGTATAAATACGTTGTCTTGTATTTTAATTTAATGTCATAATTAAAGTTATGGATTCCATTATTTACACCCTACACAAAAGATGTACATTACAAAATGAAAGAAATAAAAAATAAAAGGGTTATCTAGGGTATATCATAGGCAGTGTGCTGATAAGTGGAGTGTTTGAAACAAAATAATTGGAAGCTGTAATACCATAGGGAAGCCCACACCCATGTGGCATGTATTGAAAAATCACAAAGACAGGCATATACACTGTAATAAAAACACATACAATTATTAACATTAGAATATCTCTATAAGAGAAAGCTAGTAGGGGATGTGTAAAATGTTCTATTCGTTTCTGAAGGTATAAAAAGTATAGCCCTCAGATGGGAATGCTATCGTTAAATAAGAGACTGAAAAAGTACAGATGAGCTACAGATTTAAAATAAATTGGCATCCTATAGTGTTATTATATCAAAAATTTACAATCAGACTTTTTATTTAAATATATGTAAATATGCCACATTTAAAAATTTGTTATGACATTTATGGTGTGTACGTGCATGAGCGTGTGTGTGTTTTATTGCAGTTTTCACTATTTATCATGAAATAAAAAAAAATAAAAATGCATTTTTTTTTTGACAGGACTCCAGTCTGACGCAATGAATATGCTGAAAATAACAGCTCCATCTCCTTAGTTGAAGTCGAAATCAATCAATAAATTGATTATTTTTGTGTATCTGCCCCTGGCCAAATTGGTTATGGTGCATGCATGCTTTCCAAAGTAAATCACACCAGACACATGTTTCCCGGTTGATGAAATACTCTGGAATGTTTATTCAGGGGGGGCGACATGTTCCTTATAAAGCACAATTACATCATAAGCATTGTCAGAGATAACATGAAATAATACATCAATAATTGGTTAAGTGTAAGTGTTTTATTCAAAGCACGTCCTACTGGGTGTGCCATCTTATGTCATTACTGTCGTCATGAAGTTCTCCCCCGGATTCCAGCGCCATCTTGAAAATGAGAATGTTTGGTCGATGGGTGGAGTAGTATTCGTGGCGTGCCAGCTGGAGTGACATCTAGTGGTCAGTTTAGTAATTTATTGAATAATACTAAGTATAACTAAATGGAGTAAATAGGCATTTTACTAGCTAAAATTATGTTAATATCTCATTTCCACAACAGTCCCCCCTTAAAATGACTATTTACGACTTAAAACAACTACAGTAAGTATTCACAAATCTAAAACAAGTCATAAAACAGACAAGGAGAGCAAGGAAAATGAACATTAAGAAGACAGCCACGCCCATCTGGGTCGGAACCTTTTGTTAGCCATTTATCCATCAAACCATTTTACCCCATGAATTAATGGTTCCTGAAATCCTTTTAATTCTTCAGAGGGGCACCCTAGCTTCTCTATTGTCAAGGTTACGTTACCATATGAACCTGTGGTATCTGGAATGTAGGTACAACATGTCATGGTATCTGGGAGTATGTTACATACTCCTCCTTTCTTTGCCAAAATCGTGTCTAGGGCCATCTGGGTTGTGTCTTGTAAGAGTTAAGCCAGCTCTTGTAAGGCATCTCTAGTATAATTAACAAAGCGCTGTTGGATGTAATAAATATAATAAATGCAAATCAAAATATCATTAGCAGTGATGGTTGGGGAAATACTCAACCTTCG